TTTCAGTCACCCGGGGTATGGGGCAGTTCTGTCCAGATAGCTACCTATTTTGATAAACAAACAGAGGAATCCCAAGTTATTTGAACAGCTCATAAGAGGGGGGGAAGGTGTCTTAATTTGGAATGTCTGAAATATTAAATGATAATTTTTTGGACCGTTTGAATTTTAGATAATTCACATTTCAGATAATTAGAGTTTACCATTTTCATAATCAAATGTTATGGGCTGTTTATTAATAACGGATTTATTTATTATATGTTTTAAAAAGACTCTTCGAATACAGTTGGCTGTGCGAGGAGGACTGAAGTGTGCCTGACGTGAACTCTATTTGCTTAACCTCCTTCTTAGGTATGGCAACAACACTCGGAACTACATTGTGAGAGTTGGGGACTATCACACACTAGTACCTGAAGAGTACGAAGAAGAAATCGGACTCAAGCAGATTGTGATGCATAAAGAGTACAGGCCGGAAAGCAGTGATTATGACATTGCTTTAGTGAGGCTGCAGGGACCAGAAGAACAATGTGCCCGATTCAGCACCCATGTTTTACCTGCCTGTTTGCCACTAAGACGGGAGAGACCACAGAAAACTGCCCCCAATTGTTACATCACAGGCTGGGGCGATACAGGTAAGGGCATGCTAAATACACTCAGATTTTCCTTTGATCCTTCGAGATTTGGATTATTTGTCAAAAGCACACTGAACAATTATTTATTGTACTTAACTTGAAATTACCAAACCAGGTTCCCTCATTTAAACATAGATTTGTAGTTATTAGGTCTTTCGTTTCAGGAAAAGCCTATTCAAGAACTTTACAACAAGCTGCCATCCCCCTGCTTCCTAAGAGGGTGTGTGAAGAGCGTTACAAGAGAAGGTTCACAGGGAGGATGCTCTGTGCTGGAAATCTCCAGGAACAGAAACATGTGGACAGCTGCCAGGGAGACAGTGGTGGACCTCTGATGTGTGAACGGCCGGGGGAAAGCTGGGTTGTGTATGGGGTGACTTCCTGGGGTTATGGCTGCGGAGTCAAAGACTCTCCAGGTGTCTACACAAAAGTCTCATCCTTTGTACCCTGGATAAAAAGTGTGACCAAACTATGAGCCTCTTTACTTAGAAACAGCAAGCACATTAACTGATGTTCTGAGTCAGACAAGGCAGCTTGAACAGCATGGCCAGTGCACAGCTGGGGCCCACAGTGGGTGGGAATGGACACATTTTTCTGCACCATGTGTTCTTTTTGTTGAATCAAGGATTTATATTTTCACTACTTTCCCAGTCAGGGATTAATGTGCAAACAATTCCTTCATGCTGAGTTCAGGCACATATTGCATTTTTCCATGGAATATATATACATGGAATATATATACATGCAGTAACACTATATAGAAAACTGAACTCAGTGGTACATCCTAGAACCTGAAGCCTAGTTTAAAACTGCCTGTGTGGCATCTTTGTGACACCAGCCTTATGTGTGTATATTCCTCCATGTAATATATATACACTGTCTTGGGTGTGACATTCCTCCAGCTTTGTATACACACACACAAGGCTGGAGGAATGAACTTCATATTACTCCAATATTAGGACAATTGGAGAGTTCAATACATCATTTCTCATTTCCCAGAGCAGATGTTCCTGGCAGTTATTCATGCTTTAGGATTCTCCAGAATTATCTGTAACCCACCAAATTCCTAATTAATTCATTTTTAACCATTACCTATTTATTACTGCTGTGAGTTTCAAATCCTAGTTTCTCGATTCTGTGTCATGTTTCTTTCATAAGTCAAGTCATTTACAGTTCATGTCTGTCATTGGCTCATCTTTGATAACACAGAAGATCTAAAATTACCTCTAGTAATTATATCCCCACTTTTTTTATGAACAAGTTCACATGATTTAGCCCCTACCAAAAGAACAAACAACAACTTCAAAGTCGTCAGTACTGTCTAATCTTCCTGAAGAGAAAGTAACTTGTACACTTATATATTGGCCACATCAGGTTAAAAAAAAAAGACACATTGGAATTTAAGTAATAAGCAGATTATCATTTCAAAGACGTATCAAAAAGGGCACACCGACCTAGTGGTTTTGGTAGCAATTATACTGTCCCATCTTGATAGCCATCACTAGCTCTGGAGGCACAAAGAACTAGCCTAAAGGCTAAGCCCCCAAATTCTCTCTCTCTAGCAAAAAATTAACACAGTATCACCCAATAACAGAGTTTATAGGCCTGTCATGGGGAGCCTTTTTCTCAAACAACTCCAGGGTATAGTATCTCTATCAACACTACAGGGTAAGATTACAATTAGTATATAGACTGCTATCATCAGAGCTAGAATGTGTCCCAGATGCCAAGCCTATGTGGAAAGGTCAATGAGTTCTTCAGTCAAAATATGATTTTGTAAAAACATCGGGACAGATGCCCTAACAGTGCTCCCTAGTGCTAGTTTGGAGCATTGATTCAATAAGGCCTGGCAGGAAGAACAGAAGATACCCAATACCAAAACTTGCAATATACTTCATCACAGGTCTCTCATCCAATTAGTCTCGTCTCCAGCTTTGTCATTTTAAAGTTTAGAAACACCGGAAAATGATGTTACAAAAACAAAGCCCAAAGTCATGTAGATTCTAAACATCTCTTTTCAAAATCCATGGCTAAAAAGAATTGAAAAAGCCCATTTGATAGAACAATTAAAAAGTATTCATTTATACTTAGTGGTTTTTTTGCTAGTTCTCTTAAAATATTCACAAGAATATAGTAACCCTGGTGCTTTCTACATTAAATGAGTATGAGGAAAGCCGCAGTTTCTGATGTGACAAAAATTAGAAGCATCAATCATACACAACCATTTACTTGCCTGTAGAAAGTGACCAACTCAATTAACTTCATTGTCACACAGCACATACGAAATATATGACCATAATAATAAAAACCACCAATCACTGTCATGCTTTGTGTAGAATTGTCAGAATTGTCAAACTGGAAAACAGAAAATGTACATTCTCTTTTTGGGATGTAGGGCCTTTTTGGCAGTTGTATACAAATATTCTGTTTGTGACTAACACTTTTTAGATGTGACAAACATTTGGTGGGCCAAGGAATGCTTGAGCATGAGAGGTGTGGCAGTTCTGTTAGCAAGTTGTCTCTGCAATTGTACAAAATTGTTAGTTTAGCTACTATTTCATTGTGATTTCCGTCCCCAGAAATTCCAGCTGTGGCTCCGCTGTTGGCTTCTGTGTACAAAATGGGGAGCTTGCGCTCATGTTATGATAAATACCCAGGCGTATTTATGTACCTCTAAAACTATCCAGTACACACCTCAGTTAGCATATACCGTAAGTGTTTTGTGGCAGTATTATCAACTCCTTCATGTGATTTAATTATTAAAACTTGGCCTCAGTTCATCTCAGACTTTCAAACTAATATTTTCAGGGCCATAATCAGTTTAAACATTGTGTTGGAATTGGTGCTAAATCATTATGTATCAGGTGCTTTTATACAACATTTGCACAACTTTCTGTATTTTTGCAACATTTGAATAGTGTAAGATATTGAATGTTATATACTACTAATAAATATTGGGTTCAAGAGTAGGATGTCTTACTATTACCTGAAACAGCTGATGGAATCCATGCTTGTTACCAAATCACTGCTTATGTACAAATATGTCTTTTGTTTCAAGAAATTAAAATGAATGAGAGGGGCAAAAACCTTGCCACATGAGATACATGGGGGACTTTTTTGGAGGGGGTGGGCAGCAGTTCTGTGATGGAGAATAGGCTATGTAGGCTATATAGTGCAGTATGTTAGAAATGCGGCCTGCATGAGGGAGAAAGGGGATTCCAGTCTTCTACCACTGAGTATCAGGTTTGGAAACCATTTTTTTCTTTTAGTGTAGTAGTTTAGCAATCTGTTAAGGAGCCCATTAGTGTTTGTTTTCCGTATTGGGTTCTTTTAATAAGCAGCTTCAGCAATTAAATAGTTTTTTAAAAATTGCACTTAAAGTGTCATTCGGGCAATATATCTTTTCAGTGTCTAATGTAAATGGAATCATTTCATGTTCTGCTACTTATTTTGTTCTGTCACCCTATATAATGTAAGCTAGTGTAATACAAGCTGCCACACAATGGAATCCTGCTTCTTAGCTGAAACTCAGCAAATAATCCAGTGAATTATTTAGTCCTGTCCTGTCATAGTGTTTAGTCAATTGACTTTGGTATGAGAGATGAGAGAGGGTAATTTAAGAGTTTTGTGAATCAGTTTTCTCCAAAGCTGATCAATTCCAGACATGAGTTTCTTTCATGGAATATTAGCAAGTGGGATTTTATTTTAAAATTTCTAGTGAACCAAGATAAATCTTTATATATTCATGGAAATTAAGAAACAAGATGAAGTTTACATCAGTATCTCTGCTAGCATGAGATTAGTCCCTAGAGTATAGCAGTTCTTTAGCTGAATATAGTTTGCACAATTAGGCTTCTCTTTCTTGAGAGCCTATTTCATACTCTCAAAACTAAGTAAATTTTAATTTCCCTCATGCTCAATTTTGTTCCAATAGAAGTACCGCTCTCAGAAATTCCTTTTAAGGAACTATATTCCTATATAGTCTATATTATTCTGTTTTACTGAAATAATGCATCAGAGCGGCAATGGCAGAAACTTTAAAAAGGCACGCACATTTTTATCAACAGATTAGATGATACTGATAAATATCTAAGCATTATCCACTGCTCCTGCTACTGGAAGATTATATTGTCATTACTTAGATGCAGTCTAAGTTGACCTTTAGGGGTTAAGGTTTTCCAAATTTTTGCAAGGTGAATTCTTATCACCTTGGATAAAATTATATTGTTGACCCCTGCTTCAACACATCATGATTTTTTAAAATACCTACACATCTTAATTTATATTGGTTCAGTACTCCCTTCCCTCACCCCCTCCCCCAAACTGTTCTAAGTCAAGCTATTAAATATATACTTTCCCCATACATCAGTTTCTTCAATCCCTGCCCCCTTAACTGTCAGGTTTTCTTATTTCCTGCATTTGTGAGCAGATTTTAAATCCCACAAACAACATGCAAAAAATTCCAAATAACGGCAGTAACACTACATACAAAACTATGAGCTCAGTGGTACATCCTAGAATCTGAAGACTAGTTTAAACTGCCTCTGTGACACCCCAATCCTATCCCACCCCGTGCAGCAGCCACAGAACTACTAGGATGAATAGATTCTACATTTCTCACCATTTTATCCCTGAACTATCCTAAACTTGGCCTATTGTGAAGGTTAGAAGCAATGCAGGATGGCCACCAAGTTCATAAACTCCACCAGCCCATGTCCCCAATTCCTTTAACAAAGAAAGATCAAGCCAAGCCAGAGTTTCCTCAATAGTCACTGTTTATGTATTTAACAGAATGCTTAATACATACATATATTGAGACCAGAAAACTAGGAGCCCTCTTTCTGCTCAGGAGTGAGTCAGGCCCTTTTTTGCATGTTTTCTTTTTGTCTTTCAAAAGCTAGCATTCCTTCCTATCCAGTTGTCCAACTTCAACAGTAGAAGGTTCCTTGACCCTGCCCAGCCTATAGCCTAGATAATAGGGCACTTTCCCCTCTAGGTGAAATGGATTGAGTTGGATTCCAACATGATGGAAATGCAAAATAGGGCAAGGAAACTCACAAAACCATCTCATCCAACCCCTTGCTCAAGGCAGGATCATCCCAGACTGAACAATACCAGTCAAGTGTCTGTCTAACCTGCTCTTGAAAATTTCCAGGAATGGAAATTCCACAATTTCTCTAGGTAGCCTGATCCAATGCTTGACCACCTGCATAGTCGGAAAGTTCCTCCTAATCTCTAACCTAAATTTCCTCTTCTGCGGTTTAAAGCCATTGCTCTTTAGTCCTGTCCCCTACAGCCACAGAGAAAAGCCCATTTTCAGCCTCTTTATAACATTCCAGATATTGTATTTCTTCTCACAAACAACATGCACCCCTTTAAAGTCCAGCTGCTGGAAATTGAAATGTGCATTATATACTAGGAAATACAATGCCAGTGGTTTCTGCTGCTTAAACTTTTGACTGGGTAAAAGCCAAAGTACACTCTGCATGAGATCTGCAGGGAGTAGAACAATGAGCAGTTCAGCTCTCCAGCTAGCTGCTGCTATTCGGTTACTTACTGCACAGAACAACCTCCTTTTTCCTTCATTCTGCCTTTCAAAACCAAGGTGTGTATTTTTATTCTTATTCCTGGGTGTATTGTATGCAAGAAAACAAAGTAAATATCTACAAGTAGGACAGGGTTTTCTTGCTCTCCAGAGACCCAACAACAATACCTCTGATATCCTGAAATTGGTAGTAAAATGTGGTTTTCTAGTATATTTCAGTTAAGCTCATTAAATCAGCTTTCAATGCAGTAAGTCAAATCAGTTTAACTTAATGAAACTTAATTAAAACAATTACAGCACATAATTTAAATCAAGTCCAGAAATACAGCAATATCCACTTTTTAAACCCCTGAAAAACGCTGTTATTCATAAACCCCAACAGAATGGTTGGAATTCTCACTCCGTATTAGCCTCCAGAGCCATATTTACAATCCCAAGTAATTACACTTTGCATTTCTCACTCAGCTCAACTACTCCAACCATCCTCTGCAACTGCCACAAGTTACCATGGTGGTACCTCTGACTTCTCTCTCCAACAAACTTGGAGTTACTCCAGTGGCATTCATAAACTGAGCTGGCACCCAGGCAAACCCTGTGGGGAAGGAGAGGCACACGGTTCTGAGACCACTGGGGCAGGTTCTGGGAGCAGGATGCGATTCCAGTGCCCCTTCTAACTTGGTGCCCTGGGCAGGTGTCCCTCTTGCCCACTCCCAGCTGCGCTACTGATTCTTACTGTTTTTCAGTCCAGGGACCTACATAGGCTGCAAGCATCAGACCAGCAGGCCTTTTTCAAACCTCAGTCTGAAATTCCCCAAGCTGTGACCTACCTCCGTTCTCCATTATCAATAATCTTTCTGTCCTTCCTGGAGCCATCTTAATCCATCACAGAAACATCTCTGTCACCTCTGAGCCTTCAGCATGTCGACAAATGGGAAGAATTTGTTTCCATTACTCTGTTCCTACTGTTTTGGCTTCTCAACCTAGAGTAAGTCTTCCACCATACCCAGGTTTTATAATCTCTGGGAGGGTGGAGCTAGAAGTGGCCAGCAGCCCAAGATTTAAAGGGGCCACTATTTGAGCTTTATTGGAAGTCCAGGTTCTCCATTGCTGTGTGGTTTTCAAACCCACAGCTCACCCCCTAAAACTTATGAACATCTGTTGGTGCTCTCCAGATGTGTGAATGGATTACAACCTCATTAATAGTCACAAACACCATGTCCACTTAGTAGTCACATTCACCCTCATGCAACACATTTATCGACAGATTAGGATGAAAGATTAGGAAATTTTGTTATTTTTACAGTCTTGTATGTTTCCCCTTTTATCAGTATTTTGATGCACTCGTTTTCTAGAGAAGTTGCTTACTAAGCAACTCCCTATCTCCCTGCTCATATTTGCCCAGTCCTGTTCATAGGAGGTAAGTCATCTTCCCCAGTGGTATATAATACACTCCTGGGAACTGCAATAGTTCCTCTCTCTCACACTAGCTGCAGTTGGTACTTAAAAAAAGTTGTTTCAAATAAGTGGGTATCTCCTCTCTTCTGTAGCAGCAACCACCGAGGGAGAAAGATTGCTTGGCTTCTTGCTTACTGCTGCTTGTATATGTCTTTTCTCTTGAAGCAGCAGATCAAATTGAAAACCCATTTCCATGTGAGCTACTACTTAGTAGAGTCACTGCTCCACTGATCAGTTTAAGAGCAAGATTTTGTTACTTGCCCTTTGTGGCCGCATCTGGATAAGTGTGGTAGTCCGGTACGTGGCACTGCAAACTTGTCTGCAGTGCTACACACTGCACATTTAGATGCTCTCCATCCTGCAAGGAAGCCCTGATATCCAAGGGCCAAAAAAAACCCACGGAAAAAAAAAGTGGAGCAGCATACACAGAGAAAACAGGCGCCACTCAAGAGCACAGTTGGGCTGCCTGGAGCTGTGCTGAGGGTGCCAGCAAGGCTCCGCATGCCAGAATCACTGCTGCTGCAGCCCCAGGGGTAAGGCTGCTGGCCCCAGCCTTCCCTACCCCACCTGGGGTAACTTGCTGTGCACCAAAGTGCACGTGTTCTCTGAGGACAACTAGCAGCAGCACAAGGTGCACTGCTGCTATTTGTCCCTGGGGAAACAAATGTTCACCCTTATCTGGATGAGCCCTACATGTTCTTTAAAATATGAGGAAAAGGGATACTGACAATAGCTCACCTCCCTATGATGTTAAAAAAATACTTTCAAAATACAGTCATATGAATGGCAAGATTATGGAAGCAATTCCCAAACTGTGGGGTTGAAAGTTTCCTAGGGGGTATGAAGGAGCCGAATCAACTGAAAACAAATGTAGAAATATGAAAATTTAGCAGCCAGAAGGGTGCATAAGCATAGCCAACTTTACTATCATACGGTGTAAACCCCCACATTTTGGGAAAGTTCTATGGAGTCATGCAAATGTCTTCATAATTAAGACCC